GCAGCTGCTGTGATCCTTTGCTGTTCATGAAACTCTGGCAGAAATAGTATCGTTTTTAAATGCTCGATCAGAAAGGTGAACAGAAAGGTTTTACCGATGCTTCGAGGACAGTTTACCACTTGAGAGGTACGTTTTGCCATGGCAGGTTTATTCTCAGTCTTCTTAAAGGTAGCCTTGTTCTCTGTAACCAGAAGTGTGTCCCTGGGGAGAGTACCTCTCATGGGTTGAAGCGTAAGTAAGAAGTGTTTTTGGTTGTGCCAGATTCATCTGTAAAGATCTCACACTTGAGAATAGGCACTTTCCAATGTGGTTTGTTTTGACTGACAAGAAAGTCTTGGTTTAATTGTAACATGATAAATTAGTCCAAATACACAGGAAGTGGTCTTCAGCCAGCCAGTAGCTATCCTTGACCGGTAAGAATTCTTGTGCTTTTCTTGGTGTTAGCACCCAGTGTGCACTGCCCACCATAGCTCTGAGACGCCACCACATTGTGATGCCCAGGGTTTGACAAGAACTCCGTGAAATTGCCTGTGTCAGTTTTATTTATCTGGGACGTTTCTTGGTGTTGCAAGGAGAGAAATAATGATAAAATGCATGTGCAATTATGATTTTCTTATAATATGGTAATATTCCTCTCCTCCTTGCCTGAGTATAGTCTAAAGTCAGCAAAGCAAGAATGAAAAGTCTTTGGTTTACTGTGTTGCCTGTGTTAGCTGCTCCTGCTTTCCAGGGAGGAATTATTGCAACTGAAGAATGAGATGATGTTTTTTGAAGAGGTGAATGTAAGTAGCAATATGCTGCACAAACACTGTGATTCTTTTTTTCCCCTCTTTTTTAGTTTTAATATAGTGTAGCACAAGGTGTTTACTGCCACACCAGACATAAAGTAAAACTGGCTATTGGTAGCCTGTTTCATTTTCTGCTGTCTCTTTTGTACCATCTTGAAGAATGATTGGAATTAGAATACAAACTGAGCTGAGTATATGGTATATTGGTTTCAGTACACATAATTTCTTGCATGCTGGTAAGTGGGCAGAAGTCCAGGTTTGTCTCCTGTTTATGTATGTGAGTCAAAAAAGTCAATTAGATTAATTTTGAAATTGCCTTGCAATTAAAGCATATTGGCTAAACCTCGTGAGCTGCATTAGATTTCCTGGAAACATCCAGGAAATATAGGGTAGGGTATTTAGGTTTGTGTGCAGGTATTTTGGTTGGCAGTGCTTCATTAAGTCAGTGTTATTTCTGACTTCGGCAAAATAATGTCATACTTAAAGGAATGATAAATGGTATAGCTGTGATTTTCCTCAAAGATTAAAAATGACTATAAATTCCAGTACCTCTTTTCTTCATGCACCTCCATCAGAAGCCTCTGCTTATTTCTAATACTGAAATTCAGGTCTGAATAGCTTTAAAAATAGATGCAGATGAAAGAGCTCATTGTGTAAGCTGTCATCTTTCAAAGCACCATGTTCAGTAGAGCTCTCATGTATTTGCATCATTATTGGCTTTACGCTGTTATTAGTGAATGCAAAATTCTTTGGAAAACTTCCTCAATGAAAATATGGTGCAAGAGGGAAACTTGTGAAATTGGGACACCACTGGAACTGCGTCCTAAGAGCTGAGATTGTGGTTTAATAGTAGATACATTCTTGGCATTTCTGGTATAAAGTATTTTTTGCCTTAAGGCTTCTGTAAGAGCCTGTGAGCAATCTGATCCTTTTACAAAGGACCTGTAGAAAAAACAAAACACCTTGTTAGAAGAGACAAGGGAAGAGTCTGTTATGGTAGGAGCAACTGAGGTGTGAGAGGTGTTCCTCTGAATAATACTGCTGCAGAAACTTCTTGCCTGTCAAGGTGTCATGTCAATATATATTATTATTATGTATATATAAAGATGTGAGACAATATAGATGAGCACTCCTACAATTTTTCAAATCTGATTTTTCTGAGGAAGGCTAGGTTTCCTGTTTCTGTATCTGAAGGGGTGTCAGAAAACATTTTCCTGTGATGCTCTTTAAGTTCTGTCATTAATGTTATACTGCTCAGGCATGCCTAAGCATGCCAAATTGCAGTCAAGGGAGGTATGGGGGTTTAGAGTACTTAGTCACTCTCCTGTGATGGCTTTTTACGTGGAGAGGTGAAATGACATGTTTGTCTGTTTGCCACTAATGATGAGGGGTTTTTTTCCCAGCTGAATTTTAAATTGTGCTTTGGGAGGTGTTCCGCAGCCAAGGCTTTTTAGTGTTGGAATCCAAGTTGAAAGAAACAAGTGTGAAAAAACATAAACCACTAAAAGGTTCCTTGGTCTTTTGTTTGTAAGTTACTGAACTGCTAACTGTAGGGTAATTTAAAGAGCAGCCAAAAAGATTTTTCGAAGGTTGCCAGTATTCTTACAAAGTATTGAGTTGTGAGTCCAAGGAATAAACCTTGATGTGCTCTGTACAAGTGTGGCAAGCATAAGGTATGTGATGGGAGTTTCTCCCATCTATCCTGTTTCCTCTTCAGCTAAGCTCTGTCTCTTTATAGGAGCTGCATGCCACTGTTAACTGCTATGGCTAGTAAAAATCCTCATGTGCTCCCTGTGTAACTGTATGATCCTATCGTGTTAGTCATAGGTGAATTTTAAGGAGGTGTTTAGTTGATGTTTAACTGGTGACTTTTCAGCTCCTGAATAGATAGGTTTGAATGGCTGGCATTCCTAGAGTAGAGCTCTCACTTTGTCATCATGAAACTCATGACTCTCCACCCTGCCAGAGCAGGCAATCTGACTCACGTGTTGCCTGCTTAGGTTGCAGTCCTTGCGTTAGAACAAAATAATTACATAGAAGCCTCAAACATGAGAGCATGGCATTGGTTGCTATAGGCTAAGGGGATTAAGCTCACTTAATTTGTATTCATTTCTGGAATATAAGACTCTAGCATATAGGATTCAGCATCAACTCCCACATCTGTTTTTTTGGGGTTTTTTTAATCCCTTTAGGTTTGGGTTTGTTTTTTTTTCCCCATTGTATTATGCAGTGCTTTCCATAAATATAAAATTTAGTTTGTGCTTTTAATTTTGCTTTATCAGTTTTGTTTTACAGCTAGCATTTGCTCAAGAACAGTTGTGTTACTGAGACTGAATTCATCTTTCAAATTTGTTATTGGAATGCTTTGTATTTAAATAAGGATAGTTCAGTTAGTCCTCTAGCCAGCTGCGTCCCCCCAAAAAAACCTCACAAACCAACCCAACAAAAAAACCCCTAGCCCAAACAAAACACAACCCTCAAACAACAAAGCACTGTAACATTGGCTTCCTTAAAGTAATAATTTGCAATATGTTAATATGCTAATGTGTAAGGTGATATTAAAGAGTGGAATTATTTTACTATTCTAAAGTTAAATGTCTTGGTTTAGTCTAAGGGAACCTTAGGGTTCTTTTTTGTCAGTCTGGGTGAGCTTTTTTTTCTGCAAATATACATAAAATGGTACATTCTCTGATTAACTGAGGAAATTCTAAATAATGTAATATCACTGGTGTGTAAAATGTGAAATTACCTTAGCTTAATTAAGCAGTGAATCAGTTCTGGTTTATTATTCCAATTTTGGATGACAGAAGTAGTACTAATAACCAGCTTGTTCAGTGCTATTTATTTTACTGCAGGAAGTTGTTTCTTGGTTGGTATAACTTATGTAACAGTTTCACTAATAACCATAGCTCATTCACTGAGTGGAGGTGAAGTGGGAGTTACTTGGTTTTATTGAAGTGTTATGGGTTGTAATAAGAGGAAGAATGATTTTACAGTAACTTGTACCAAGAGTAGACACTTAATGAGACAATGATTGAGAGGGACCAATAGTCTCTTGAAATACATGAATAAGTATACATTTATGGATCACTGAGTTTATTTAGCTGTTGTGAATTTCCAGGGAAATTAAGTTGCATTGATACTTTGTCATGACTTAACTAATGTATGTATTGGATGGTATTTAATAGCCATTCTTTCAATGTTCCTGTATGTCATAACAATATTCTTTGTGCTTGGTATGCAGGAGAGGTCAAAACACATTCTAAACATTCCTCCTGTGGCCAAACAGAACTGTGCTTAGGCTATAAGAAAATTTGACTTTGTTTTCTTATTTCAGTAAAAAATCTCAGAAGTGGGATGAAATGAACATCATAGCTACGTACCACCCAGCAGGGAAAGATTATGGCTTGATGAAAATAGATGAGCCAGCTACTCCTTATCACAGGTAGGCTTGCTAAACTGTCCCAAACGAGGGCAGGAGACACAGTAGTTTTACAGCAAAATTGACTTTGTGGATGATGTAATATTTATTACAGCTGATTGCCTGACAGAATGTGCAGGCCTACTGGATATATACAACATATTAAGATTTAAGAAGCTTCTAAATAAGGGCTTATAGCTGTTGAGGAAGACTGTCAAAAAAGACAAAGTCAATTTTTAGAAGATTTTTGTCTAGCAGGCTTTAGGCTTTGAATGGTATAAGTGTCTGACTTGTATTGATTTTATCTTTTTTCAGTTAACATCTGTGTAGTAGCATATAAAGTTATATCAATATTTAGATTAGATTTGGAAAGTTTTTGAAGTACTGAAGGAGTCTTTTAATGGAGTGTTGTAAGGTTTTCACTGTTGCATCAAGCAAATTTTAAGCAGCAAATTACTGATAAAGGCTACTTTTTGTTTGCCCTCCAAGCATGGTAGGAGAAGATGATGAGGATGCAGTGAGTGATACAGAAGCAAATGAGCCCGTAAGAGCAGATGTGTTGAGTAAAAAGTAAGTATCGTCATAGAAAATTGACTAATTTTTAAGAGAATTTTCTCTTTCCTGGAGTATTTTTTCTTTATAGAAAGCTGTTGCTGGTTTCTGTAAAGTCAAACTTTGCTATTGACAAATCTAGTAGTCATCAGTGTTTTATAGCGCTACTGGTACTATAAACCTCTTGCAGGTTGTTAGTACGCATAAATATAGCAAAAATAACGAACAAATCTGAGTGCTCTGAAATATAATGTATGTGAGAAACTTGCTGCTTTAGCATTTGTTTTGCATGATTTTTGTAGACTGGCAGCTGCAGCTGAAGGTAAAGGACCCAAGATTATGACAAAGCAAGAGGAAAGCAGTGAGGAGGAGGAAGAAGATGAAGAATTAACACCTGAAGAACGAGGTAGGCATAAGTTGTTTCCTTTGTTTTGTTTTGGGTTTTTTTTTCCCCTATAAATAGTTTCAGGTTTTCAGTAAATATATTTGGGAAGAAGTACTATCAGAAAAATCTTGCGTTTTTGTTTTTTTTTTTTTTTTTTTTAAAGAGAGTCTGAACAAATATGCTGTTTGTTTCTCATCAGGACTGTGTAGTTTGGGATTACATATAAACAGGAATTTGCTGTTACTGGCTGCCCTCCTCTATACAAGCTTAAGGTGTGGGAATTCCTCTTAAGATACATGGACTTCTCAAATAAGCAGCTCTTAAGGTTTTGGGGTGAGGGAGTAGTTCCCATTCCAAACATATTTCAGGTAGACTTAACAGTTCAATGAGTACCGCCACAATTAAGATGCTGCTAATTGCTTGCAAACATACAGATGGTATTTCTGTTGTTTTCAAAACAGCTGGTAGATGAATCCAGCGGGAAATCTACATTTGTTCCGAAGCAGACCGCATCTTCAGAAGAGATGTTTTGTGTTAGGCTGGGCTAGAACATTTTGAGGAAACAGTCAAACAATAATACTTCTAAGGTTTCAGGCTTGTATTATCTAGCTCTAGGTTCTTATCTTTCCTGGCCCCAACTTTCAGTGTGTAACCTTACTATTCTAAAGGAAGGAAAAAAACCCCCAGTGTTGGGGCTGCCAATAAGCAAAGTTTAGTTTAATTTTAATGTGTTAACTGCTAGACCTGATAATGTTTAATATATGGAGCAAAGTTAGGCTTCAGGCCATGGAGACAGTGGAAAACATCATCTTCCACATGTGGTAAAATACCTCTCATAACTGGCCTTTGGTAGCTAGCCAGGAGTCAAGTTAGACATCTACTAAAGTTCATCTTCTATCCCGTCAGTACATTCAATTTGTCCTTAAGTTTACTTGGAAACACTACTTGCAGAACTTTGGAATTTTTTTTTGCTGTTATTAGATGCTTCTCTTGGTTCAGGCTTGCTCTTACTTGCAGATGGGTTCTTTTAAAAGTGCTTCAGCCATTCCAGTCCATTAATTACTGGCCTTTTTATAAGTCAGACTCATTCAAAAGAATGCTCCACTGCTTGAAGAAAATAATTTTAATTCAGGGATTGTTCGATCTTGTAATCAGTGGACTTTCAAGGTAGGAATAAATTTGACCTAGGAAGCAGTTAGTGCCTCTCTGAAGAGAAAATAAGCTGATTTTGTTTTTTTTTTTAAGGGAATAAATAAATATTTGCATTTGTTTGTCCACAGAGAAAAAGAAACAGTTTGAAATGAAGAGAAAAATGCACTACAATGAAGGACGAAACATCAAACTGGCACGACAGCTCATTGCAAAAGAACTACATGGTGAAGAGGATGATGATGATGAGGATGAAGAGATGCACGATGCTGCAGATGTAGAAACAATGAATACAGAAGTTGCTGAACATGGTGAGCTGCTAATTAATCAAAAAGTGTGTTTAAGTATTAGTGGTCCTTTCAGCTGTTGGGAAGTGGATACCCTTAAGTATGAGAATGAACAGAAAGGATACAGTATGTATGGAACACTCATGTGCAATACTGCACGCTGTCTAGGTAGGTGGACTTGTAGCATGGTACCAAAAACATCAGTATTGCTAAATAGGGTGTGGGCTTTTGTTTGCTGTGACAGAACAGAAAAGTGAACATCTCTGCTTCCTACTGTTTCCCCAACATAACTGTGTCTTGGTAGTGAAACTGACAGCTTCCTTTTTAAAGGAAGAGCTGCCTTGTACCAAACACTTAAAGCTGTGGCCACACAGGGAAGCCTGGTCTTACATTGTGGTTCAGTTCCCATTCTGCTCTCAAACCATCCTATAGGCACTAGTGGGAAACTAGCATGAATGCTTCCTCCCTGTTGAGCGTAGTGTATCTAAGTTCCTGCGTAAGAACTTCTGCCTGTCTTACTGTAATGTAAAACTGCTGTTAGGACTTGTCCTTGAGCAGTAATGTTCTATTCCATAGCATGGGTTAAGACCCTCAGCTTTGCTTTTAGTGCAGCTTCTGGAAAAAAGTCTCAGATTTTAGCTGGGAGCCCTTTCTGGAACCTGCTGCAGGGCTGTCTCTTGATAGAAAACTCATAAAACTATAGAGGCTGACACCTTCTCTTTCGTCTTTTAAGCTTCTCTCTGGGTAAAAAGGGTAGACTGTATAATGAAAGTTTTTGGTTTTTTTTTCGTGGTGGCCGTCTGTTGAATAATTACAGCTGTTCACTATCCTGTGTTCACCACCTCTGTGTTTAACAGCACTTTGAACAAGTTTTTGGCATTAAAAAATAGACATCTGTTGCTTATGAGACTAGTGGCAACGAAGTCTGTAAGCCTCATTCATCTGTTGCTTGGCAAAGCTGTGTGATGTTAGCACAGTCTGCAGACTTGGGAAGATGCTGCATGGGTTTAACTTGGTTCACACTTGCATTTCATAACCATATGAACTACAGTCTCTTCTAAAATTAGAATAAATTCCATACAATAAAAAGGTGATTTGCAAAGTTGTATGTGTTTAAGTTCTGTGGATTGCACATTTTAGTCCCATTATTAATTACAGGAGGGCTAATGCCTTCATAAATGCTCCAAAAGGGTCATTTGGTATGTGTCTGAGACCCACTAATAATGGACTGACTTCATCCAGTAATTTAATATATGCCTTAGAATGGCTATTTACTAGAACTTCACTCCCCAGGGGAAAGGAGGGCTCCAATAGGCAACCTTATGACCTTTCTCCATGGCTTGAAGCTGCCATCCTTCTGCACTCTGCTGTAAAACAGAGGCAACTCCGCTCGCCAGCTGCATTCACCAGTGGAAAAGAAGGCACACCTTTGCAGCATTTTTCCATCTCTATTGTTGAAGTCCATTCCACATTCCTTCATAACCAGCTTCAGAGCCACCCCTGGTAATTATCAATTTTAGACTGCTCACGGCCAATAGATTCCAGAAACATAACTGCTAGCCAGTTTATTAACCCATTAACTAACTGGTTCACCTCCACACCAGGGCATATAGAAATACTTTCCATTAATCTGATGTAGTTTTCAATTCTTCACTTTTGTTTTCTATCATTCTGCTTAAACCCTTATGTTTCTTTATCTCTTAATGTCTCTGTCAGCTATCATAGCTTTTGGTCTCTGTACTTGATCAATTCTTCTGAGGTTGAGTACTGGTCTCACTTTTGTAGCAGCTGGTGAGTTGAATGCCCTCAGACTGATCATGTGTGATTCTTTGTGGCTGGGTTAGTCGAAGGATGATGAATACAGGTAAAACTGTTAATAAACCTCTCTGTCTTCTGCCACTGCCCATGTTTTAAGAAATTTATACACGGAGATGATAAATGTTTGGTAGCATAGCTATGTTAAAGTAATGTCAAAGTTTACTGAAATAACTTTTTTGAGATGACATCTTTTTATCACTCTCTCACCTGTATTCCGAGGGCACAGAAGAATCTTCATATTTACACATGTTAATTAAATGGATGTCAGCTACTGAGCATTTACTCAAACAGCTGGTTTTAACACTCACTACTTGGGTTTTTCACTAGTCTGTGCTTTTGGTCATGCTATGGTTTTGATCATATTAAGCAATTGGGTATTTAAAACAGTATTTCAATTTGTTTGTTTCCTTCATGGAAGTGGATCAAAATGCTGTTAATATTCATGTTCCTAAGATTCCCCTGTTAGGTCTAAGTGTGTGGAAAGATTATTCATCTGGATGAGCTCTTCAAAGAGCTGTGCGACTTCAAATCGTGTTTTGAAGTGCTTTCTTACAGAGCAGAAAAAGAGGATTTTCTTTATTCAGTGTATTAGGTGGTGCAGGAGCTGGTTTTGGTGATGGCTTATTTTGACTTCACTCTGTTAAAGTGACTAACAACGGCTCTGACGCTTGCTTTTAACTGCAGAGGAAATGTCTGTCTTTCTGCATGTTGTATTGTAGCTACATTTTGATAATTTCTTCCATTCAACCTCACTTCTTGTGAAGTTAGAGATCATCTGGTGATATGGCCACCACTCATCTGTCGTGTCTGAGTCTGTCAATCTGTGTAAGCAAGAGCTGGCGTGCAGTCTCTTTTCTATTCCAGTAGAATAACGTGACTTCTGATGGTTATTCTAGGTCAAGATGTGACATAAGAGGTGTTTCCTAGCAGTCTGTTGTGACTGTAGGGCTCTACTAGCTCCTGGGTTGTTTTTCAGGCAGTTTGAGACCCTCTTCTCACTTGGAATTTTTTTTTTTTGTCTATTAAGCTCCTTAAAGGTCCTATGCTTCTCTTATCTGATGTTCCTTTCTACCCTCTAATCCTGTCTGGTTTGTATTTGAGTAAAACTAACAGTACTCTTCTAATGTCTACACTTTCCTTTTTAAGAAGGGGCTAAAGTCTTAGGTTTTTAAGAAAGTTTCTGTCAGCTACCATCAGATCCACTAATGTAAGTTGCACTTGTGGTTACAGACTGAGATTTCTTGCTGATTGAAATGAAGATGGCCAGTCCAGTCAGTAATGGTGAGAACTGTTTTCATATTTTTGCCCGTTTTCATTTTGGGCTACCAAATACTTTAACTGTATAGGTCATTCCTTCTTGCCTCAAGTAACTGTACCTTATCCCATGTGTATGGGTTCTAGCACCCAAGCCTTTTGGTGGAAAAGAAGGCTAAAGTTGTCATAGACTGCATTAGGATTGCTTGCTTTAGCATTTCAGTTTCTCTGGAATTTTTTTTGACTACTCCATATTTATGACTCCATGAATGGCATAAATAGCAAAAGTGACCTTTGTTCCTCTCCATAAACACTTTTCCTTTAGAAGTTCTCTTTGAACTCACTGAAGGAAAGATTCCCGATGGAGGTAAATTTAAGCATGATGGTTTTGGTGCAGATCTGTCTTTACTTCTGCTACACAGAAGTATCAGCTGCAAGGGTGTGATCAATAGCAGTTCAATTGACAAGCAGTAAAACTATTGTTCTCTCTCTCTGGTTCATTTAGCATTCACTGCTATGATAGCCCTGCTCAGATACTGCTCCTCAATTTAGCTCTCAGATGACCGAGTGTGCTGTTATGGCCTTTGCGAGATAGAGAATACATTGTGTTTTCTTAACCAGGGTGAGCACCACCCTGAAGATGACTCAAGTGAGAAGTCTGAGAGCATACACACAGGGGTTTCACTTGTTAGCGATGTGCTTGTTAAACTGCACTTGTTATACCAAGTGTAACTCAGTGTAACTGAATTTTCAGGGGCACATTATATATATACTCATAATACTATATATACGTGTATATATATATAAGAAAAAGGGCTTTTTCATATGAAAAGCACTAATGAGAAGGAGCTTTCTCTGATTTACTGCTGTTCTTTGGCTCAAAACCAAGAGTTTAACAACTTCCTGAAAAACACAACAGACTGTGTTTGCTCATTTATAAGCTTGTTTTGTTTTAAAGTGTCTTAATCTGGAATTGAAATAAGCTTGTTTTGTTTTAAAGTGTCTTAATCTGGAATTGAAATTTGTCCTGAAAAGCACTATGCTTGTTTGTGTTTCAGGAACCCCATGTGTTAGTTTTGCAAATTGATCTCTCTCAACTCCTGGTTTAAATCATTCCCCTGGTACCAGGGGTGGCGAGCATCCAGTGCTTGCTATGCTGAACAATGCTGTTAGCCCTCCCCTCATGTTAGCCAACATGGGGTGAAGTAACCATTCTAGAAGTTTCTGTGCTCTCAAACTAAAAGCTTGTATGTTGCCAAGATGGGTTGGCAAACATTACCTCTGGAGAAGCAAAGGTGATTTCAGGAGGATACTTGTGTGTGTTTTGAAAATATGCAAGGAGTGTGAAGAATTACCTTTTTTTTTTTTTTTTTTTTTTTTTTTTTTTGCTTGTTTGTTTTTTTGATTTTTTTTTTTTTTTTGTAGTCTTTCTTATGCAGCACATGCTACTCATGACCAGCTGGGAAGAAGAGCATACAGCATAGAAGAAATCTGTCCAGAACTGTAACTGCTTGTCAAGGACACAAATATAAACATCGCTTCACAATTTTTGCTATTAAGGCTCTTAAATATTGAGAAGCATATCAGTTACAATGTTGTATTGCCAAGAATGTTTATTTTAGACTTGTCTGTTAGGCAGAAAAAAACCTGTCTAATTGGTTTATTCTTGTGCCTAGTATTTCATGGAGAATACTGCTTCATAATCTGTTCAACCAGAATGGCATTCCCTGTATGTATAATGCTGATTATCTTGCGTAATGTACTGTTAACTCTTCACGCTTCGAAACAGTATCTTTTGGGCTTTCACTATTTATTTGACAGTGTTCTAGGTGTGGTGTCTCTTACAGAAAGGTTTTGGATTCAAGAGCTGAACGGTACAGCATATATCAGATTAACATGCAAGCTATTTATCAGATGTGTTATGCAGTTTAAAAAGGGATTATTTAAGTCTTACAACTTTTTTGTAAAGTGTGGACCTGTTAATTTAGATTTCAGTACATTATTGCCTGTACTTTCCCCATCTTTAGAAGAACTGTATTATTTTTTGAGTGGTGTTCGGAATCGGTTGTTATTTTCTGACTAAGGCAGTACTAACATCTGGTGGAGAGAATGTTTTTACACTGGAAATGTGTTAACTTGAACTTTGCATTTAACTGATTTAACTGTCATTATCTCTTCCATCGGGACTGGATGTTCTGTGGAGCTCTTTGGCTTATCATGAGAATGTGGATGTTCCCTCCAGCTTTTCTCTTAAAACTACACGTACTGTCACTCTTCTGGCTCTTGTTTCAAACTTTTGGTCCTTTCCAGCTGCATGAAGAGTGCTTGTGCTACTAGCATCTGAGGAGAAAACACCCAACCATGAGCAAAACCACATCAGGACTGTGAAGATGAGCTGAGTTTAGGCTCTGGTTGTTCTTTATATAAAGATAACTGCTGCTGATCTCATCTGGGGTTGGCAACCTGCATACTGAAAACTGCTGGTCTAAATCTTCCTATATCCATTGCAACTGACAGCAGCTGGTTTTGTAAAGTGAAGGCTCTTTGGAAAAATAGAAGGAAAACTCCTTAACTCAGATACTTGCCTACAGTATGGTTTTACAGTCCTGTAAAGAGGGATTCTGAACCTGTAAATTGCTGTAAACAACTTTCCACTTGGTGAAATCTGACTGGTGAATGTTCCAGTATTCAGAATAGTTTCTGGGGTTTATTACACAAATGAAGTATACACTTAAGCTTTAGCTTGGTTATGGAATATAGTGTATATCTTAATTTTGATCTGAATTTGATATGTTGCAAAAATCCATATAATTATATGGATCTGTTTTAAAATGTCTTTTTGTCCACTGTACATGTGAAGTTTGAATAAAGGAATGAAAGTTATTTTACAGTTACATGCCTTCTCAAGTGTGAGCTTTCATGAAATCCCAGAGAGATTGAGAGTGAATAACACAATAGGATGCTGTTCTTTGGAAGATTTATACAGGAATAATTAATTGGAATGGATGCATTGCCAAAGGTACCTGTGAGTTGTACTAACTGGGTGTTGTAGTGTGCCTTTCCCAACTGCCTCCTCTCCACAGGGTTGCCCATTGTGGGATATTTGGTTTTAATAATGGCCTGAATCAGGATTAATACCATCTTTTCACAAGAAGTTGAACTCTATTTGGTCCAGTGTAGTGATGCTAATTTTTCAATATGGAGAATTTGATCAATGTGTATGGGTAATGCAGATGTCTTCTGCAAGGCTGTAAAACAGATGACTTGTACTTTGTGATAAGTACAAGTGGGTACTTTGCACTTGCAATTAAAGCAGAATCCATCAGAAGCAGCTTTTGTATGAGATTATGTCTTGCCCTCCTGTCCCGCACACTTTGGTCTCTCGAGACCTCATGTTCATTCTGGTGCTCAGCAGGGCTACTTTGTATGATGCAATGCCTACAAAGCATTTTGTATAATAAACAAAAAAGGCTTTGCTAACGTCCAGTAAAACCTTTTGTGTAATGGCTTCCAAAATCCTGGATGAAATGGATAGGTAGCTTTGAGGGAGGTACAGTATACATAGATGCTGGAAGATGGTTTTGAATGAACTTGAGACCGTCTCTTCATCAGTCAGTTATTTTGTGCTGTCTGGGTGATCTCCCTTTTTGGTGCCACTAGTTTAGATCACGTTTTGTAACTTGTGCTGGTTTTAGTTATGGGTGTTATTAAAGGCTTTGTTCTCTTCGTTCCCTTCAGCATTAGCAAAGATTCTGTTTGTGCTCCCTCATCTTGCTCACCTGGAGTGCAACCCGATGTACCTGACACCACTTCTAACTGAAAGGCTGGCTTACTTTATTTCATCCAGGCTTACACCTTCATGCATTTTAAAAGCCAAAATAGGCACGTTTACTTTGCAGTAACTACATATACTCTATATAGCTTCTTTTACAAAGGGATATCTGATTTCCTTCTATTCTGGAAATATGAAATACAGTCCCCTGGTGAATGGGGACAAGAAAGGAAATGCCTTTTCTCTTTTTACGTTAGATAGAGACTCAGGTTGCGTACACATCTTCATCTTGAGGAGCCTATGGTAAAAGCTCGTTCACATAGTAAAGAGTGGTGTAAACAGGAAGAACACATTCAGCCCTTACTAATGTGGAGACTGAGCTCCACAGCATTATAATTGTAAAGCTTCTTGTACAGGGGTAAGTCCCCAAGCTGCATCCTTTTTGTAGAAATTTCAATATGCTTCCAATAGCAAGATGACTTGCAAGTAAGAGCCTTAACTCTGTCTTTTAAAGTTTTTTCCTGTCCTTAAAGTTTCTTTCACACACTTACGCAAAAGGTTGCGGTTCATAGAAACTGCAAATACTTCTTTCCACAGCTTGCTCTTATGTTAAACTTGTGTGTCTTACTAGAACTTTCTTTCTGTAACATGGTTTTTGTGATGTTTATCATGGTATCACCTCACCAATGTAATTGTTCTGTTTGAAACCAGTGTGAAGTGTCACAGTGTAAATAAAACCATTGTTTTCACTACTGCCTTATGGCACTAAGACCAGGCGTATTGGTTTGACTTTTTGGAACTTTTCAGAAGAAACTGGCAGCCTCTGTAAGGTTTGCAAGAGTGTTCATGGATGAATACTTAAAACAATATTGCAATTTCCTCATGACTACAAAGAAGGAAGTATTCTTTAGTGTAACTGATGTAAATCAGTTTGTACATGCTTGGCTACAGAGATGCAAGAGTAGATCTGGAACCTGAATCATGAACTTAAGACAGCAGCACCACAGAGTAGGCTGCATTTTCCAAGGTAGTTTTCTTTGTGTGTTGTAGGATTTAAAGCAAGACTGATCTATCTCTTCATGGTCAGCACTGAGTAATCACTTACTGGCATTGAGTAATGGAAAATGACTAACACCAACTACTTCTCAGGAAGTAAAACTATTCCAAAGAAAAGAAGAAAGAGCTGGGCTCTCTCGCATGCTTTATTTGAAAAGTGGATTTCACAACATAAATGCAGCCAGTGATACGAACATTTCTTAAGTTGCTGCTTTTCCTTTGTGGGTGTGACAGAGGCACTCACCTTCTTAAGTAAATGAGTGGTAGTTTGGCTAGTTTTGGTGAGGGACAACTCACAAAAACATATGTTCATTACACCTGTGTAACTCAGTTTGGATCTGATGTTTTGCCAGTCTTTGGAAAAAACCCAACAACAAAACCCAAACCCCGAAACCACAACTGACTGAACTGAAAAATTTCCCTTTGCTTCTCTGAAAGGACACCTTAAGTGAGGGAGGGAGTGAAGGTGTAGCAGGCATTCAACCTCTTGGAAAGGAAGCAAGTCTTACTTTTCCCTCCATCCTTCCTTGTTCACTGTTTGTTCTTGTGATACCAAAAGGACATCGGGGGAGACAGAAAGGGTAGGATGAGAAAAAAGGTTAAAAAAATAGGGGCAAAGCCTGGTGCAGGTGGTGGGGCACTGGAGTGGCAGAGGCTGTAAACACTGCAGGGGGTGAGCAGGCTCCATGGGAGCAGGTACAGCGGCTTCTCAGGTTCCTAAAGAGCTGATAGTGACTGTCACCAACTCGTGTCAGCTTCCCAGCACAGCATCCTCCTGGATGGAGCCCGTGACTTGGTGTGACATTGCTTCATTTTTGCTGAGTTGAACAGTAAGTTGTACTTCTCGGTCGCTGCCTTCGAGGATGAGTGGGGATAGCTGACGTTCCTTTGTCATTTTTACAGCTAGGAACACTAAGCAGTGCCAGACTCGACAAAGCTCTTTCTCCGTTTTCTCTTAAGGGACCAGTGATCTACAGTGTTCTGCTGTCCTTCCCTATGAAGCAGGAAAGGACCAACACGGTCCTTTCCGCTCTGTGATACAGCCCTTTTGCTGCCTGAAAAGCCTTCAAAAAGTATTCCCAGGCAAACGTTCCGTGCAAAACCCACATACGCACACTTGGTATTCCTCGTACAGAAAACCCTGCTGTTCGCGCCCCTCCTGCAAAGCAACACAGATCTGCGGCCACCGCCAGGATCGAGACCTGCAGCACTTCGGGGAG